TGGTGAAGATGAGGGTGAGGGTGATGGTGGGGGTGTGGGAGGAAGGATGGTGAGGATGATGGTGGAGGTGATGGTGAAGATGATGGTGAGGATGGTGATGTGATCATGGTGGAGGTGGTGGTGAAGATGAGGGTGAGGGTGATGGTGGGGGTGTGGGAGGAAAGATGGTGAGGATGATGGTGGAGGTGATGGTGAAGATGAGGGTGAGGGTGGTGGTGGGGGTGATGGAGGAAGGATGGTGATGTGGTGATGATGGTGGGGGTGATGGAGGAAGGATGGTGATGTGGTGATGATGGTGGAGGTGATGGTGAAGATGATGGTGAGGGTAGTGGTGGGGGTGAGGGAGGAAGGATGGTGATGATGGTGGAGGTGATGGTGAAGATGAGGGTGCGGGTGGGGGTGAGGGAGGAAGGATGGTGAGGGTGATTGTGGAAATGATGGCAGAGGTGATAGCAGCTGGCATTTAGTGAGCATATCCCAGATGTCAGACCCTGACAGTCCAAGTGCTCCTTTCCACACCCTCACTTTTTCTTAAATGAGTGTAGGACTTGTCTTAGTTCTGGTTCCCAAAATAGAGCCTCAGACTAGGTCGTGGGTGCTGGTGGTTTGTCTGGAAGGCCATCTTGGAAGCTGGTGTGGGAGCAGGGAGAAGGTGTTGGGAAAGGAGCAGAGTCAAGGACAAAGGCACATTGTCAAGATCACTGCTGCAGGCAGAAGTCTCTGCCGCCTCACAGGACCTCGCCAGCCCTTCCTGTCCCTCACCACCAGTCCCTGCCATCAGCACATCCCACCCCTGTTTTTTCCCCGTGCCTCTTCCTTTCTCTTACTTAGCACACAACAGAACCTCCAGTCCCCCAAACACCAGCAAAGCTACAGATTAGTATGTCTTTCTCCACATCCTACAGGTATAGAGTAAAAATACTGCTTCTCTCAGTGTCTTGACTATAAGATAATGAAAGAGTTAATAAAGCACTCTTTGCTTTTGTTTTTTACACCTGAAGATGACAACACTCATACTTCTAGGAGATATTTGTTTCAAGAAATTACCAAGGTTAATGTTATCAAATATCAAAAGGCATTAGATTTTTCTGTATAAAAAGGATATTGTTATTGTGCATAGTATTTCTTAGTTGTTTCATGACCAAAAATTCTAATGAGTAATTCCACTTCACATTCTATATGCATTCTTTTTTTTTCTTTTTCTTTTTTTCTCCGAGATGGACTCTTGCAGTGTAGCCCACGCTGGAGTGCAATGGTGCAATCTCAGCTCACTCCAACCTCTGCCTCTTGGACTCCAGTGATTCTCCTGCCTCAGCCTCCCAAGTAGCTGGGATTACAGGCGCCCGCCACCACACCCAGCTAATTTTTGTATTTGTAGTAGAGATGGGGTTTCACCATGTTGGCCAGGCTGGTCTCAAACTCCTGACCTCAAGTGATCCACCCACCTCGGCCTCCGAAAGTGCTGGGATTACAGGCGTGAGCCACCGCGCCCAGCCACATTCTAATTCGTTTTATTACCTCTTCACATGGGGTGGGAACACTAAGGAAGGAGAGTAGGCTAGTGGATAGAAGATGGATTCTCATCTTGGATCTTCCTCGGGTAGTGATGTCTTCATCTGCAAATTAGGAAAAGTAATATTTGCCCCATTTACCTCAAGGATGATTATGGTGATTATAGCAGAAGCATCAGGTGTGTCTGCAAATGTAATTCACACTGTCACCAAGTACTCCGCAAATGTAATTCACTGTAGTAGAATGTGCACTGTATTGTGTGTGTATGTGTACACACGTGGAGTCTCGTTTTAGAGGTTTTTACTGCTATGACTTTACAATGAAATAGAAAAAGACCTTTATTGCACATGAACCCATTGGACATATCTGATGGCTCCAGATTGTAGATGTTACAGTTTGTGATTATTCGTAGTAAATATCTGTGGGTAGTCCTGATAAAAAATCTAAGTATGTGCGTCATGATGAGTTGATTTCTACCTGTGGAATATTTATTATTTCAGCTTCTCCCTTTGGAAAGATATCATTGTTACAAGAAACAGTGTTTCATCGATTTACATGCATCGTCTAACATTTCCACATTTAACTTCCTTTTAGACGTGAAAAATTTAATGAAAGATAAACCTTCAGTGAACTTCTAAGTTTGCTGATACTTAAAGCTAAAAACCATTGACATACTTCTAAACCTGAAAGTGAACACTTGACCCCAAAATGCAAAGACCCACACTCGCATAGCATAGTGGTTGGGTGTTGCTATAGACGGAGAGAAGAAGTTCTGCTGGGGAGGCTCTCTGACCCAGCACAGATGATCCAAACATCCCCCGCACTCTCGTGCCCTTCCCTGGCAGGACGTCGTGTCCAAGATGCTCCACGTGGACCCTCATCAGCGCCTGACAGCGATGCAAGTGCTCAAACACCCCTGGGTGGTCAACAGAGAGTACCTGTCCCAAAACCAGCTCAGCCGACAGGACGTACACCTGGTGAAGGTACCAGCAGGCAACAGTGTGGACACAGTGGTGGGAATGGGAAACCCAGAAAAGAACCTGACACCTTGCAATTACTCTGAAGAAACCAGGGAGTGCAGAGAAAGAGCCCATAGCAGTCCCAAACTGCACCGCCGGCCCACTCACCTTCACGTACTTCACCAGACATGCGCGGTCACGCACAGCGCGCCTCTCTGATTAGGTGGCAGCCTCTGCGGACGTGGTGGCAGCTGGTGTGGCTGTTCCACTCAAGTTCAAAGCCTCCATTCTAGGCCACACGTGCAAAAAAGTCCCCACTTCATAAGTGACTTACATTCAGGCAGCAGTTGCCTCTCAGGCACCCCATCCTCTGGGTGGGACTCCTCTTCTGAGAAGTATAGACCGTCCCACCCCAGCAGGCCTAGGCATGACCCAGTTAGGAGCAGTCCCCTCCAGATCCATGCTGAGAACTGGGATTCACTCCAGGATATGCCTGTTCCTCCAGATGAGTCCAGACTCCTCAACAGTGGCCAAAGTCCAGGTTGACAGGCCCTGGCATTTGCTGTGCGTGTGTCCTAGGACCCAGCAAGCCCCAAAACAGACCTGGCCTCACTGTCAGAATGCAGGGGATCACGCGACCTCAGCTTGGGGGCTCCACAAGAGTCTAAAACATTTTCCCCCAAGGCACAAGCACAGTGCGAGGGTGGCACGGGGCGGGGGGCAGGTGCAGGAATGAGAAGCCCCTGTCTCCTGGGGCTCACAGTACCCCATGCTCCAGGGACCCTGGGGAAGCTCCGATTTCCCCCACATTGCCTGGGGGCAGCTGAGGCCCATGGAGGCCCCGGGCTCCGGCTCCACCCCCGGAGTGAGGCACCACGGCTCTCACCCTTGTCCTCTGTTTTGCAGGGCGCGATGGCCGCCACCTACTTTGCTCTAAACAGAGCACCTCAGGCCCCGCGGCTGGAGCCCGTGCTGTCGTCCAACCTGGCTCAGCGCAGAGGCATGAAGAGACTCACGTCCACGCGGCTGTAGCAGGTGGGACCCTGGCCCCAGCGTCCCCCGCCAGCGTCCTCGTGGGCTCGCAGACCCCGGCCTCGGAGCCCATCTGGCACCCAGAGTGACCACAAGTCCAGCAGGGAGGCGGCGCCCGCCCTCGCCGTGTCCGTGTTTTCTTTTTCAACCCCGGAGAGGGTCCTGACCCGGGGGCTTCTCCAAGCCTCACTGCGCCAGCCTCGCCGCCCGCTCTCTTTTCTCCCAAGCAAAACCAAATGCGCCCCTTCACCTCACGTGCCCGTGCGAGGCCGGGGGCTTCTTTCAGAACCCGCGGGTCTTCTCATATCACGGCTTCTTTTCTGCCAAGAGATCTGTGTTCCAATTATGAAGCCGGTCGGTTTAGTCAGACTTGCGCTGCCGACGTCCCGGGTACCCGGTGGGAAAGTGGCAGTGCAAAGGCGCAGCCGTCGGTGGTTGCAGGGCCCTAGAGGGCTGGGGTGACCTGGTATCCTGGGGCTCCCCACGGGCTGGATGAGGGGGTTGGCACTGTGGCGTCCAGGGGGAGACGCCTGGTTCTGCCCAAAATAATCCAAAGAGCCGTTTCCTCCTCGCCCTTCAGTTTCTGCCTGAGGTGCTGGGTAGCCCATCCTATCCTCTGTCCCAAATTCAAAGGAGGAGTAAGAGCCCAGGCGACAGCAAGGTGGGCTGGATCTTTGCCTTGAGAGCTCCGTGTCACCACGGATGGAAGGGGGCGCCTCCCGGAGGAGCCTGTGTCCACCTCCAGTCTTGGCTTTCCCCCGGGGGCCAAGCGCACTGGGCTGCCCTTGGTCCCCAGCTCCGGTGGTCACACAGCTACCTGGAGGCTTTGCAGGGAGCCGTGGGTTCTCACGCCTTCTCAGCCCTGTGTCAGCTTCCTGTGTGCTCACCCAAAGCCGTGGTTCTGCTGTGTTCACTTCGATTTTTCTGGTCTACGGAGAAACTGTGAATTTGAGAAATGGAGCTCTGTGGCTTCCCACCCAGTCCTTCTCAGTCCAACTGGAGGCTGGAGGGAGACGCAGGCCCCACCCAGCAGACTAAGGGGCAGGGGCACAGGTCGGAGGGCAGCGGAGATCAGCGTGGACAGGAGCGATGCACTTTGTAGATGCTGTGGCTTTGTGTTGCGTTTTGTGTCTCTGTTGCACAGATCTGTTTTCACACAGATCCGTATACCCTGGGGTGTGCACACAGGGTGGGTGTGGGGCATTTAGGCCATGCTGTGCTCTCCTTCATTGAGTAAAATCAAGTGAGAGGTTCCAGGCAGGAGGCTTGACGCCCAGTCCAGCCCGCAGAGGGAACACACGGGTCCTTCATTCTCCCGTAAGGGTGTTGAAGATGCTCCCCGGCGGCCGCCAAGCCAGGGTACCCAGCAAGTGGACTGGGTGGGAGGGGGCGCCGCTCACCCCCTCACCCTGCATTACTGAAGAGCCCCGCGTCTGCAGCAAGCGGAGCTTCAGGAGGCCTCCACTGGCCACAGCCAGGTTTTCCCTAAGAAAATGTTATTGTGTTGGGATTTGTTCCCCCTCCATCTCGATTCTAGTACCCAACTAAAAACAAAACAAAACAAACAAACAAAAAAATGTGCTGCGTTCTGAAAAATAACTCCTTAGCTTGGTCTGATTGTTTTCAGACCTTAAAATACAAACTTGTTTCAGAAGCTTTAATCCATGAAGATTTTTTTTTTCTTAGAGAATCACAAAACATAAAAGGAGCAAGTCGGACTGAATACCTGTTTCCATAGTGCCCACAGGGCATTCCTCACCTTTTCTCCATAGAAGATGCTTTTTCCCAAGGCTGGAATTACTTCCACCATGATGAATTTGCTTTTTAGGTCTTAATTATTTCACTTCTTTTTAGAAACTTAGGAAAAAGTGGATAATCCTTAGGTCACAGAATTTGTCCTCCCAGAAATGAACAAAAGTCATCACCTCTTCTGCTTGCTACGCAGGCACAAGCTCATGGTCTTTTCCAGTCATCCCAGTTTGTGCAGACTTAGCTTCTGAACTCTAAGAATGCCAAAGGGACCGACGAGACTCCCCATCACAGCGAACTCTGTCCTTACATATATTTGATGTGCATCAGCGGAGGAGAACACTGGTTTGGCCCTGCTCTGCCGAGGGTCTGTGAAATACCTCTACTTTCCCTCCCATATGCAGAACAAAGTGATACTGGAAATCCTTCCACAAAAGTCAGCCTAAAGAAGCTATGGTATCATATGTTAAACTAAGCTTTCAAAACCCTTAGTGATATAGCAGGTGACTGCTTTCAAGCAGCAGTCGACATGTAAATGAAGGTGTTCTTAGAATTCGCATTTTACCAGCTCAGCGCACCTCCACGTCAAATGAAATGCTCTGTATGATTTGCACAAATGACATAGACCTCCCCAAAGGTTAATTGGCTCTCCTTGCTCACACAGATCATCTCATAACCACCACCCCCCGCCCCCGGGTCATGAAAATCACAGAACTTAATACACACACTGAACCCTAGATCTCAGGCTTCCTGACCTACCGCGAGTGGCCCCTTGCTGGCCACCCTATAGGGTCCTCCTTCCCTGGCAGCCCCCTGTGTGGGAGAAATACCTGATTCTCCCAATCTGCAGTGGGAGAGCTTTGCTGAATTCCACCCCAAAGTCAAACATGGGCAAGAGGTGAGGATTTCACTTTTACCCTCAAGTCCGATTTGTCTGTGATTTTAAACTAACTGTGTATGTATTGATGTTTGGAAGATTGTTTGAATTTTAAAGTGGTAATAGTACTTAATGTTAGCCAGTATTGTTCATTAAATGGTGTTATCCTAAAGCTGCACTTGGGATTTTTACCTAACGCTTTACTGATTCTCTCAAGCACATGGCAAAGTTTGATTTGCACTCCGTTCATTTTCTGACACGGTTTTGCTGCCTCCTACCTTTCTAAGCGTCATGCAAATTCGAGAACGGAGAAGGACGCTGCCGGTCCCTGAGCAGTGCGGAGAGGGCGGCAGGTGGACTCCAGCGCAGCTTGAGGGGCTGAGGACGGAGGCTGCAGCGTCTGTGTCGTTCTACTGAGCACGCTTCTCTGCCTCGCTCCTGACTCAGCACTTTGTTCACTGGCTCAGCAGTTATGTTTACACATCATTTTTATGTTCCTGCTTTGTAATTCATGTTTGAGATGGGTGGCCACTGTACAGATATTTATTACGCTTTCCAGACTTTCTGAATAGATTTTTTTGAATAAACATGGTTTTATGAAGTGTAATCTTTTTCTAGCCTAACAATAACCTTTGGACTTTCTGTGTTGTTACCAATAACAGTCTGGATAGCTCCCCACTCCTCTGGCCCCTCCCGCTGGCTTCAGGCCATGACCACCTCTGCCACTACCATGTGACCCCTCATGGGGAGGTGAAGCAGCATCGTGACCACTCCACCTCAGAGCCCTGTGTGTGAGTGTGTGCAGGTGGGTGAGCTCATGCATATGCGTGCATGTACACATGTGTATGTGCACATGTGTGCATGTGTAGGTGGGTGAGCTCACGCCTATGTATGTGCACGTGTGTGTACTTATGTCTGTATGTGTGCACACGTGTGTGTAGGTGGGTGAGTTCATGAGTGTGTACACATGTATGCTTACGTGTGTGCACGTGGGTGGGTGAGTTCATGCATATGCATGTGTGTGCACATGTGCACTTGTGTGTGTATATGTGGAAGTATGAGTTCATGCATGTGTGTACATGCATAAATGAGTGTGCATGAGAGCACATGTGAACATATGGATGTATGTGTGTGTGTGCATTAGGGCCTGTGTATCTGTGGGTGTGCATGCACTCCTGAGAGGACCCCAGCTGTGTTATGGATCTGGGGCTGGCAGGAGACAGTGGAAGGTCATCTTGTGCAGCAAAGCAGGTGCCCAGCACACGGCCCTGGGAACAGCCCTCACTGTGTCTCCTGTGCTTTGCCACCTGGTCTCAGCATGCCCATCCCTTTTTAATACAGACATAAAGCCAGTCTGCACTGTTGGTCCTTGGCTCTCCAACCCAATTTATTCTTCCTATTTGGTAAATTCCTTCCTAACCAGCTTGTGTCAGCAAGCAGCGCACACACACACACACACACAACACCGTGCAGACACATGCACACGCACACACCTTTGCTCCTGTGGTAGAATGCCCGATTTTCTGAGCTGCTCTCCCAGCAGGGTGAAGGGGGCCTTGCTGAAATCTATGAGACTCTCTGTGTAGGCAGGAGCCCTGGATCCCACTGAGGAAACTGCAGCACAAACAATAGATATAGAAAAAATCCTGCCTCCTGCTCTACCCAGGAAGTGCCCACAAAAGGCCTACTGACAGAGGCATCATTTGAAAAAAAAAATACCTTTTACATCCTCTATGTATCATTTTCTATTTCTGCCCTAGCAAATCCCACAAGCCTGTCGCATAAAACAGCAGCATCTACTATTGTCTTACAGCTCTGTAGGTCACAAGTCCAAGACAGGGCTCTCTGAACTAAAACCGGTATGTGGGCAGCGCTGCCTCCTTCCAGAGGCTTGCAGGGAGAATCCGATTCTTTTCCAGCTTCCAGAGGCCATCTGTGCTCGGCAGCTCGCGGCCCCTCCCGCCTCCTCCACATTCAGCAGTGGCAGGTGGAGTTCTCACACCCTCTCCTCTGCCCGGCCCTCCTGCCTCCCTCTTCCAATTCTAAGCCCTGTGAGCACACTGGCCCACCAGGATATTTGGGAAACTCCCTATTTTAAGGGGGTCTGATTAGCACCCTGAATTCCACCGGCAACCTCAGTTCCCCTTTGTCACAGCTTCCAGGGAGTAGGATGTGGACTTTGGTGGGGAGATGGATTATCCCGCCTGCCACATACATGTAGTTGAGCATAGCTCTGCGTACACTTGTCCACCCGCACATGTTTTTTTGGTTGGGGAAGACGAGGTGTCCAGACTGAAGTAAGTCTCTGAGGCTTGGCCCTACTTGCAGGCTCATGGATGCTGGATGAAGACACAAGACTTCCAGATCAGAGACCCTACAGCAAACAGCATGGGCCCCGCACACATCAGTCCCCGTGCGCGCTCAGCCTTATGGGGTGGTGGAGAGCGGCCCAGGTGGATGTGCTGCTGCACATGTTGAATTTGCGTCACAGATGAGGACCCTGACTTAGGAAACCCCAATTGTTTATGGAGGGATGCAGGCAAACCCACCCCCTTTGTCCTGGAAGGGGACACTCGATTACAGTGGACAGGAAAATGCCTGCCTTTGGCCCCAGAGAGACGCTGCCTCTGCCTCGCAGGGCTGTTTACTGCACAAATGTCCTCGGACAGACAGTTCAGAGCCAAAGCAGCTATAGACTGCGGAAAGGCAAGAGACCCGTGGAGATTTGCCTCCCGGTGGCTCAGTGTTGTAACGCTGGACCCCAAATGCTGGACTGAATGTTGACTAAGAATCCACTGACAGGCCTGGAGAGGAGGGTTAGACTCACACTTGGGCTGTCACCTTTATCTGTGGAGAAACTCAGCTTAATGCTCAGTCTCAGATGCATCTGAGGACATAAAGATATTTTTATAGAACTTGAAAGAATCCTCCATACACCTATCATATGTGTAACGATAGGTATAGATCTGTCATCCTCACATGGAGGGAGGTACAGATATGTACCTATATGTACATATGCTAGGTATAGATATAAATTAGAAATATATAGTATATAGATATAATACATAGATACATATATTTGTTCTCAAAATTCAGCTAATTACTTGTCCTGATTAATACCAATCTGGGACATTAGCAGTATTTGCAGAAAACAAGTAGGGGAGCCAGGGAATGACTCCCACTTTCCAATGCAGCCCAGGGGGCATTGAGTGAAAGTTACTGCTTCCCCCAAATTTAGGGCTCAACAAATTCTTAACATTGTATCTGGCCCATGACCTTTTAGGTACGATAACTTTCTCATTTATACAGGTAGATCTGAATGCAACCCATAGCCCTGGAGATCTGGAGCTGGCTCTGCCGTCCTGTGTGGCACGGGTCCTGGAGCTGGCTCTGCCGCCCTGTGTGACACGTGTGCTGGAACTGGCTCTGTCCTGTAGTTCTGCCTGCTTAGGCCTAATAGGGATGAAGGTGCCTCTCTCCAAGTGAGGACGACCGGTTACACACCTGCCACGTGAAGCTGTCATCTGGGGACAGCTTCCCCCGGCCCAGCACACCAAGTGCTCTCTGCAATTTGCATCAGCCTCTTTGGTTGTGGACTTCAGCATTGCCCAGGGCTCTCCGTAGCCGGCGCAGCCACAGTGTGGGTGTGAGAGGCCGTCACTGCGGGAACCTGAGCACCTGCTTGCAAATAAAGGGTGCTCAGAAAACACGCTGCCTTGCAGAAAACACCGGGATATTCTGGCACACATTTGTCTGTGGATGTCAGCCTGTGACTCCAGGCGAGGGGGCCATTCTCGGATGGTTAAACGTCAATGTGGACAGTCTGGACACCCAGGATCAGTCTAATGGGGTTTCCTAGACTCTTCAAGGATGGTCAAGCATCCCTAGAGATGGACAGTGGGACGCCAAGGGCCTCCTGGGGGGC